GAAGCACCTGTAGGTACCACCCCCTGCCCACCATGGTGGGCTGCTCTCCCCTGGATCCCCCCCACCCACCCACCATGGACCTGGGCTTTATTCCTGCTCAGTTTCAAGCTACAGCCAGAGCAGAGCTGGGTGTCCTGGTGCTGCAGTGGTGCCTGGGGGGGATTCCTGGAGGGGCACAGTGCAGCTTTCCTTGCCCCAAATCCACCCAAGGCTGCTGCCCTTTCCCATTGATATGTGGTTTGGGTTGGAAAGACCATAAAGATCATCCAGATCCAACCCCCTGCATGGGCAGGGACACCTCCCACCAGCCCAGGCTGCTCCAAGCCCCATCCAACCTGCCCTTCAACCCTGCCAGGGATGGGGCAGCCACAGCTTCCCTGGGCAACCTGGGCCAGGCTCTCAGCACCCTCACAGCAAAGAATTTCCTCCTCATTTCTCACCTCAATCCCCCCTTTTCCAGCACAAAGGTTTTTTCCTAGAAAAAAAGATCCATCAGGTGGGTCAGGACCAGACCTAGCTGTGTCCCCCCCATCTTCTTGGAGATGAAACAAACCTGCATCAACATCCACCCCATTTCAGATGCAGCTGCAACAAGTGGTTTGTCTCTGGAAAGGAGCAGAAGGGCAGCAGGGGGGGGATGTTTTTTCCTCCTTGAAGTTCAGTTTTTTCACGTGTTTTGGGGTTTCCTGTGTGGTGCAGGCAGGGGAAGTGTGAACCAAGCCAGGCAAAATCTTGCCCTGTTCTCATCTCTCTGCTTGGCCACTGTCATCTTATCTTAAAGGCTGAGAGGCAGAAATAAATCCCACCACAGGGGCTCAAAGATTTAGTGCCCAGGGCCCAGATGCCACGAGGCTCAGTAGTGACACAGCAACACTCATTTCTCAACACCAACCTCATGGCAAAGAGAAAAAACACTTTTATTTGCACTGTTTGTGTAAAAAAAGCTGAGAACAAGGGAGGCCCTGGCTTGGAATTGCCTTGTGAGGATGATATTTTGGGTCCTGCTCCTCTGTTAGGAGAGGACACAAAGAGGTGTCCCCAAATGTCACCCAAGTCTCATGGTTTATGAGACATCACCCACCAGTCTACTCACCCTATTGACCTTCTTTTCCTCCCTGCTCCTTACACATCTCCAAGAAACATCACTAGATGTATTTTCCCAAACTGGTCATAAGAAAAACTACACCCCTGGGTTATCCACGTTGCATCAGATGATTTGCTTGTATTTATTTCTTTACTTCCTTATTTTGTAGAGCTGATTCTTATAGATATCACCTTTTAAATGGCAGGTGACAAAGCAGAGCAGGTTTTTTTTACACTCAGGAATGGAAATGTTGGTTTCAAGCAGCCTGTTCCTGTCAGAGCTTTGATTAGAGAACTTGCTGCTCCCTAAAGAGAAAGAAGAGTTTCAGAAGATCATTTCAAACATCTAGAATTTAAAAATATTCAAAGCCTTCTCCTGTTAATCAGGGTGATACCTAAGTTGGTGAGTTCTAAAAGATAATGAATAGTATGAAATGGAGAGGGAAGTGACCATGAATCATTTATTATTTCATCTCCAGGTCTCAAAGTGTCATCAACCATCCTTAAATCCGAGAATCATGATTTCAGACAGGCCTGTGTCCAGCTTAGGGTTAAAAGTCCAAGCAAAATGGAATCTTTAAAGGCATGATAAGCAAAAGAGGCAGCAAATCCATCATATGATATTGTAGTTTATTGTTCCCCTCCGATGGTCTTGCTTGTATTTTGTCTGTTAAGGCTACAAATGTCAGGAAAGCTGGGGAGGGACTTGGGACAAGGGCAGGGAGGGATGGGATGAGGGGGATGGATGAAAACTGGAAAAGGGAGAT